TATTATGGCAAAGCAGTAATTATTTCAACAGTAAACAAGGGGATGGTTGAGCTACCGACAGGATTGGAGCTGGTTGAAATGCTTCAGTTAATATAGCTTGAGTCCAGGCCTGCAACTGCCTCTTGGAAGGAGGACAAGGTTCTCTGCCACCAAAGGAGTTGTCTGAGCCTCAGTGAGATACTTGGTTACTCTGAGATGCGTGAAATATAGACAGCAGGGACATCACATCCACCGTGGTGGCCAAGCCAACCTAAGCCAACACTGCAGCTCGGTGACCCATTGTATAGCTTCTGTAGGAGGACTCCCATCCCTTCTTTGAGACACAACTTGTGTTGGCTCACACATTGTCTCAAAAGAAGATATTAGAGAGTGCAGAAACACAAGCCCCAGGATGAACCAGAAACAGCCTTACACAAACCATGTGCTCTCTCCAAGAACTATTTCCCTGTTAAAAGGACAAGCAGAGAACACGGATTTCTGGCCTTAAGCTAATAAAGTGACTTGAGGCAGGGTTTCCCCTCCAAAGTGCATCCCCTTTCTCTCTGTGCCTCCCAGCTGGGCTCCAGATCTAACGTCCAACCTACAAATATCCTTTGCCTCCTGTCCAGAGACGATCCTGGAAAGATGAAGACAGCAAGCAATGTGCTTCATGGCCCAGCCTCTGGGGTGGGAAGACATGTCCCCTTCCCATGGACAAGCAACAGTTCAAGCTGGATTCTTTTCTGCTGTTGCTTGTCCTCGTGTTTTAAGCCAGAGAGAATCAATATATCCAAATATACCAGCTTTCTCCCAGAGTCCCTTTGCTGCTTTGCTGCTCATGTATAGACAGATGATCTCATGAGACCTCTGCCACATCAGGCCACCGGGCCTCATCTATCTTAAGTGCATATACGAGCTGTGATTACTGCTGTGTCTGAGAGCTTCATGTCTTGAATCTATTTATCCTCCCATCGGGCTTGCAAAACAAGGGACTGCTATTGTACCTCTTGCCGGGAGGACACGGAGGGCCACAGGGGTTAAATGGAATGATCAGGGAGGATATCCGGGATGTGGCAACATCAGGATCCTCCAAGCACCTCCCTTGTCTTGTCCTTCTGCCTTGCAGAGGCAGTGCCTATTCAGCAAATCACAGCTCAGACTCCACATGGGATGTAGCTTTCAGCACCCAGCCTAATCCTGACGTTAATGAGGGATTCTTGCTCTAAAAACCTCTCCATCAGACCTTTTATGAGTAAATACACCATGCAGCCAAACCATAATGTTTTTCTACCCTGGCAGCTGCTGTCTTCAGCCTTACACCAGAATCCATCATCCTACAGCAATAATCAAAAAGCAATTAGACAAAAACCATGGCAGAAAAGTCCATCAAGGGTTGTTAAGGATGATGACTTGGATGCAGGCTCTGGCTTGGGATGTCTGCATGTGGCAGACTGATGCTGGCCAGACAGATGAGCCACGCACACACCTGTTTTTACATCCTTTCCTCATGCCCCTGCCTCCATCATGGCAGGATAGCCACACTTAAGCCCTTGTTATTATGAGAGATGAAAACCAGGCTGATAACACAGCAATTGCCATGACAACATCAGAATTACCCCCAAAATAAATACAAAGCCCAGTAGCTATGGAAACACCTGAGTGACCAAAACCAGACTATTGTCTAGAAGACCTCTCTGCAGTTTACAGATGACATTGGCATCATGAGACTGCAGCCCCTAAGACAGCCTTGGAAGTGAAGAGATGCTTGGCACCTGTGAGTGCAAAGCCAAATGTGTGTGGGCACACACAACACTGCCTTTCAGACCCCAGCTTCCAAGTCCTCAGCACAACCTACACCTCCTCTGGAAAGATGCTGCTGCCTTCTTGCTGGATGTTATATATATCTACATCCTTCCTCCCTCTTTGTCCTCCTCCCTCCCTTCACCCTGCTGAGGATACCTCTCTTGGTTGCCATCCCAATGGTCCTGTCACTGCAGGGCTGCCAAGGAGGGACGGATCTGCTCCATGGCATGACAGAACTTGTCTTTCTATCATGGTTTTGGTGACTGTTTTGAAGTCCCAGTGCCTGGTAGCTCTGGTGGTAGTCACATTGCCAGCTGGAGCATATGAACCCAGGGCAGTTAAACCTCTTTCACTGATGTAGAAGCAGCTGTGACTACATCAGATCCTCATCTTTATCCACTTCAACCCATTCAGCTGCATTACTGGGAGAAGAAAAAAGCAAGGACAGAGAGGACTGATGCAAAGGGATGGAAGATGTCATGCATCTTGGTTGGACTGGCCACAAGGCCAGAAACCCCTTCTCTAGAGCCAGCTCCCTGCTTTTGCTCATGGAAGGAGGATGAGGATGGGCACAGGTTCTGAGCAGGGATAGAGGCACCAACAGGGCCAGCACCGATGTGATTCACTTGCAGAAAACTCTTGTTCAGGTTCACTCAGCTTGAGTTATCCAACAAAAACTCTCTCCTCCTCCTGGCTGTGGGGAATCTTCCAACCAAACAGACTCAAACCCAGATTTAACAGCTCCAATCACATGCCAACTACTGCAGACGCAAAAGTTACCAAACTCATATTACACCAGACCCAAGCAATGCACAGGAGAGAAAACAACCAAGCGGTCAAGGTGAGTGACTGCAAAAGGGTCTTGAGTGAGCTCAGTCACCAGGGAACTGGGTTGCTCTTGGTGTAAATCCCCTGAAGGACCCAACCACACATTCCATGGTGAGCAGACACCTCTTACATTGCCTCCATTTCCCACCAAGGGCTACACGCAGCTGGTAAGGAAATAATAAAGCCCAAGAAGAGCCTTGCACAGAGGAGCACTCACCAGCTTAAGCACAGGGACTGGCTCCTTCAGCTCCTGCTCTGTTCGTGCTTGGCACAGACAGTGCTATCAGAGCCTCTCCCCAGTGAAACCGGTGAGAGCTGTTACTCATCAGCTATGTAAACCCTTCAGTTATGCACCAGCATTCCCTCAACCAATCCTCCTCATCCCTTTTCTCCACCACTCCAAGCAGGATGGAGAAAGGCAGCGAGAAGGAACAGGAGGCGACTCACTCGAGGCTTCCCCTGGGGTGAGCAGACCTGAAATCCAGAAATGAGCTTTGGGTCCCTGTTTGTTCCCATCTCTCCAAATTAGACTATATCCCACTCAGGAAAGGGTTATCATCTCAGCATCTGCTACAGCACCTCTGTGCACCTGCCCTGGCTCTCATTTCGGTCCCCAAACTTCCAATCCTCATCCCTGCTATGTGAGCTGAATGCGAAAAGGAGAAGTAAAGGTCCCTGTTGGCAGCTTGGCAGAGCCAGAGAGAAACAGGAGCTGCCTATGGAGGTCTGCAGCCACCAGAGTTGTCTCGGGCCACCTCTGGGCTCAGCACCCTCCATCAGCATGAGGCCAGACTCCAGTAAATCTCTGTGATCATTTGTTCCCTTTGAGTTTTGAAAGCGGAATGCCTAATCATGGCCAAAATCAGGTAAGAGCTGCTGCTGCAAATTACACAGCACCACAGGTAATTTCTGATTAGCTCACTCTTCCTCTCCTGGTGCATCCTCAGTTTCCATAGCAGCTAAGTCCTAAGTAAAATGGAAACATCTGGTTCAAGCGCAGGTAAAGAATCCCTGGGGGAAGAAACCTGCTGGATGGCAGCAAACATGGAAAATAGCCCTCACAAAAGACAGAGGCATTGGAAGCCGGAGCCTGTTTAGGAGAGGATGGATAGTGTGTGGGAAATGGCAACAAACAGCATGGGAATGAGAGAGGAGGGTCCTTGGGGAGCAGGAGGGGATGCGGGAAGGAGAGCAGGGATGTGAAGGAAACAAGATGCATGTGAAAAACAAGCAATGAGGAGGTTGAGTGAGACAAAAATGCATTGACAGCACAGACAAGGGGAAGAGGACAGAGAAGAAAAGGTTTCAAGGTAGGAACGCAAGAACTGCTGCAACCGTAAATGCCACCTGATGGTGACAGCTACACTGACAGCAACTTCACAGACACCCAGGGATGGAGACGAGCACATGGATCTGCGCCCTGCTTTTCATCATTCATCCACGCACAGACCCTGACCGAAGGCCACCATCTCGGGGACACAACCACCTAAAGCAGATAAACCAACACATGCACCGGGGGGAATATGGCTTTTACAGAGGCTGCTGTCAAGGGAATGGGCTGAGCTGCCACCGCCTCAGCTCGCTCCTTGCCTGAGCTATGGAGAGTGATGGATCTGGCCCAGCCGTTTGCTTCAGAGCAGACAAATAGCAAAAAATCAATGGAGCTGCACCAAGGCGCCGCAGCCATCGTCAGGCAGATGAACAGAGAGCGCAGACACGGACCCATCCATCACTGCCACCGCTGCGCCGGCTCCTCCGGCTGCCGACAGCCCAGCCGGGGCGTCCCCGAGGAGAGCTTGAGGCAGACACTGGTAAAACCTCAGGGGAAAAGCACCTGGGATGGGATCGGAGCAGCAGAAACCAGGCATCACCCCCTTGGTTTCTGTTGCTCCCGGCAAGAACAGGGCAGCAAAACACAAAGCAAACACCAAAAAGCATCTGGGAACCCGTTTGGCAATAACATGGGCACACATGGGAATTGGCTTCCCCGCTGGCACACCCACGCAGCTCTGCTCAGGCTTTGCATACCAATTCACAAGGCCACCAATTAATGCTTCCTGGCTTTTCCTGCTCATTTGCACTAGTTGCAGCCTTCCTTTAAAGCAACAGGGAGAATATCCCCCAAACATAGGGCCAGGCGAGCATGTTCAATCCCTAAGCAAAACAACATCAACCTGGTACCTTCAGCCAGCGCTCCACATGAACAAAACTATCAGCTCCACCACCAAGATGGATGTTTCTCCACCAGAGTCATCAACTGCTGCATTAAATCCCATCTCTTTGGCACACATCATCCTTTCTTTGCTACATGAACCAACGACACCTCCCCAGCTGCTTGCAACCAACTTTGTGCCTTCTACAGAGTATTTAGGGTAAGGTTTGGCTCTTACCTTTGGGCGAGATGTGTCTCCAGGTGATTGTTGGATCTGGCCTGCCCGTGGCTATGCAAGTGAGGCTGACGTTGCCGCCCTCATTGATGGAGATGTCAGAAGAGATCTCGATGATCTTCGGAGACACTGCAATGACAGAAAGAGGGAAATGAAAATGCAACCGGTTCTGCTCCAACTCCAATCCCAAAATGTGGCTAAAGGAGGCTGAGTTTCCTTCCTCCACCTTGACAAGCTCTGCAGTAGCTCATCAGTGTCATTTGGCTTGATGGGATCCTGCAGGGGAAAGGGGGACAGAGAAGACAAAGGCTGAAGTGGGAAGAAGTTATAGCCAGAAGGGATTCAATCACTGTAGGGATGCTCAAGACAGCTCCTCCTTAGCACCTCTTTGTGTATGAGATGGTACTTCTCCCACACCCTGCTTCCAGGACTCATCCTGTCCTATCAGCCCTCTCTGGCAGAGCTGCATCCTACTGAGGAAACACCATCCACCCCTTCCAAACTCCATCAAGAGCACTCAAAACATGCCTGTGGCTTGCAGCTCTTTCTGCAGTCTCTCTTGCAACCAGGAAAGCACCAAGAGTTGCTGGCTATGAATACAAGTCTACCAAGGAGCCTCTAATGTCCAGCACTATACAAAGGAAGGGAAATTCAACTGGGATGAAAGCCATCCCGAACCATCAAGAACATGCAGGAGCGGGTTAGATGCAAGGGATCCAGACCTAAATTGAGGATGCATACATAGGATGGGGGGCGATGAGAAGGGGAAGGGATGAGGAGTGAGCAAGGATGCAACTGCCAAGGGAGGGCTGGGGTTTCTACAGCTGCTGTTAGCAGCCTGCACCTGCACAACGTAATAAAGAACATCACTTTCCTTGGATTATTATTTTCCAGGCCGTTCTCCAGAGCTGAGCAGCATCAGCATCCCTCTGAGGTGCTGTGCAGGAGACTCACAAATCACTTCCAAAGCATCCTGCTCCTTCCACCCTCCCTGGACGAGCCCAACCATTGACCGGCTTGAAGCTGCAGCCCAGACCATTGCAACACCCTTATTCCTGACTTGGATCCTGAGCATGCTTTTCCCTGTGTATCTCTGTTTGCCATATCCTTCCCGGGGCTGTGCCAAGCTGGAATGACTGCAATGGCCTTGCATGCATTGCCTCTGCTGTGCAGGTAAGTAATTTATTGATCCGTAAAGCACTCGAAGACACTCTGGAAGGGATTATGTCATGCCAGTGCTGTGCAATAAAATAAAAAATGATGGATTTTTTGTGAACATGAGGGTGATTTAGGGTTTGTAGTTGGAAGTGTAGTTAAAGTACATTTTAAGTGGAAATCAAGGTGGGTAATGAATTATTCTCTGTTTTGAAGGGCTTCTGGGAGTTCATTTTTTTGCTGCTGTGGGCACAATGGTTAATCTACTAATCATGCACTACGGATCAGATGCTCCCAGAACAGCAGGAGCTCTGGGGCAGGACAGTGGAGGGCACAAAGATGACACCAAAAGACATATTAATATGCATCAGTGTCATTAAGCCCAGTGGAAGGGGACAGCACATGTCTCCTGGGACTACTACGCACCCGTGTAGAGCTGGGAGATGTTCTGTCAAGAGCCAGGTAGTCCATCGAGGACATGCAATTAATTACAATGGTGTAATGATTGCCCTGCAAGGCTGGGATTGCTGGTCAGGAAAGCCATGTGCACTTGAAAAAGCCCAATTTTAGTCTGGACAACAAAAGTAGGCCTAGAAGGTTTTACTGATGCCATTTCAGAGGTGGAAAGAGACAAGTGGAAGCACAGTGAATTGTCTGCCATCGCCTGGGAAGAAGAAATAGCTTCCAGCAGAACGTACCAACAGAACTAGAGCAATATCCATCATCATCAATGTGATGCTCGCTAAATCACAGAGGAACCTTTCTGATGTTTTTAACTACTGAAGCCACATCATCCCATTTCAGCTTGTTTTGCAGAGCTCACTGAGACTTCAAAAAGGAAATCAAGTCAGCCTTTGCACTGTGGCTCTGGTGCTGCACCCACAAGGCAGGAGACAAACATCTGCAATCAAATCAGGTGATCAGATTCTAAATCATAATCAAAGCAGATTAAACTTAGATTTCCCTTAATAGGAACATTATAACCTCATCAATACAGAAAGATTTAAATGTTGCTCTGATGATGGAGAGGAGGAGAGGTGATTGTGGTGCTGCTCTGCTGGGCAATGGGAGACTTTGCAACTCCAAGTGAGAAAGCAGCTCAATCCACATATACACCAAGGAAAAAGCCCATTACACTTGGGACATGCTTGGGAAAAGCCAATTTGCTGCAGCCCACCTGAGATGAGATGAAGAAGGAACGGTTGGGAAGTAAAACCAGAGTGACCACATCAGCAAAGCTTAAGTGCAATGTGCAGTGGTAGGATTTACCATGTCAGTTATTGCATGCTAATTAAACGTTTGAATAATTAACCCCAGGGCTATGTAAAATGCCTTTCTGGAGACTCATCAGGTAGGGGGAAGGCTCTTCCCACACTAGGGAGGGAAGCCTTAATAAATAGGGTTCACAAGTACCTATTTAATCTTATTTAATGGTCATTGGTCCTCCCGTTCCCTCTGCATTCAACACTTCCACCATCACTTGGCATTTCTGCAGCAATGGGGCAGAGGAGGAATTTCTTCTGCTGAATGCAGGACGCAGATGGATCTGTGCTCCTTTGGGAATGAATAAATAAATAAAGCTAAATAAATGCAGGCTTCCCAGGCGGGAACCCTCTCCTTGCGGGCAGGCCTTTTATGCTCAGCATCTCTTTTGCTTACAAGTGATTAAACATGGCAGTGTTGGCCAAGCTGCTCCAGTGACACAGCACAGATTTCCCCAGGGGCAGGCTGGTGTTTGATCGATCTGGCTCCTCTTTTCCTCCCCTATCCTTGCCATGAGGATGGGAAAGGGCTCTGGGCTCCTCTCAGCCCCTCCAGGACATGCTCCCAGTTTGCCCAGCTGTGGTTCCTGCTCACACACATGGAGTCCCCAGGCCAGAAAGCAGCTTACTTAAATATTTAACCAAACCATATGGCATGTTGCATGTTGGAGGGTGTTCAGTCAGGTGATAGATGTCTTTACGGAGCCAAGCATATGTGCTTGCCTACACAGATATATTCCCTGGCGCACAGACACCTTCCTGCCACTGACACAGACTATACCTCCGCTGTGCTTTCACCTCCAAACCCTCATCCCAGAGCCAGCACTGGTGCAAAATCTCACGCATCCCATGATGATGCAGTGGTGAGCACAGATCTTCATGTCTTAGGGATGCAGCAGGGCACCTACACCACCTCCTCTGCCATGGTACCCACTGTGGGGCCAGTGCCTTCCACAATTACTCCTCCAACTCATTAGTGTTAGAAGGGATCTCTGGAGATCTTCCAGTCCAACACCCTGGCAAGGCGGACCCACCTAAAGCAGGTTACACAGGACCATGTCCATGGTGGGTTTTAATGTCTCCAGATTAGGAGACTCCACAGCCCCCTTTGGTTTGGGTTGGCAAGGACCTTAAGTCCCAAACCCATGCCATGGGCAGGGACACCTTCCATTAGAGCAGGTTGCTCCAAGCCCCTGCCTGGGGCAGCCTGTCCCAGTGCTCTGCCACCTCAATGTCAAGCAGCTCTTCCTCATGTTGAGGTGAAACTTGTTGTGTCTCTCCACCAGAGACGGGGAAAGAGCCCTCAGATGAGCGTCACCAAGTTGAGGGCCCTCAAGGAATAATGGCATTTTTTTGCCTTAACCACATCCTTTCTACCCATTTTTTGAGCCAAACTGATTAGTTTGGCAGTGCAGAAATACACGTGTGACCTTTACAGACCAGAAAGTCCCTTCTCATGCGGGAGCTGAGCGGAGCAGTGCAAAGGACTCAGCCCCAGCAACAGCCTGCAAGCGAGCCCAGCAGCTCCTCGCTTCCCCCTCATACATAACACATGCAAACCTCCATCCTCCAGCACGAGCAACATCTGCTCCAGATCAAAGGAAACAACAAAGAACAGCTATAAATGTGTCTCGGAGAAAGAAAAAGAGGGAGAGTCAGACTTGCGTTCTGCAGGCAATCTGTGATGTGCACTGCCAGCCTCCTCAACATCAGGCTGCTGCTGCTCCTGCTTTAGTAACAGCTTCTTACTGCTGTCACCTCCAGAATTCCCTGTGTTTTACAGCGTGCTGCTGCCACAGGTCCTGCCCCTGGGGTTTGATGATGCTACAGGTTGATGCAAGGAGTTGGACCCTCACTGCACTCCCCCATCCACCTCCTCCAGGTTGTACCTAGAGCAGCTTGTCTCTCCTGTAGTAGGTCAGGAGAAGGTCCAGCACCCGGCTGCTGCAGTGCCAGGCATTGCGCCTTCTCCTTCCTTTGTGTTCCAAACCTTTCTGTCCTTTTTAAGGGAGGCAGAAAGCAAGTTGAGAGAGCTGAGCCTTCAATTATCCTTCTGTCACATCAACACTGCTCAGGAGATGGGCAGGGGGGCAAGGAAGGGCAAACACAGCTTTAAAGCCTGCCTCCACCTACACTGCTCGCTTGTGTAGGCTTGTACACAACCCCTTTACACTATGAGTGCTGATCCTGCCCCTCGGAGCTGCCTCTACCTTGGGTCTCCACAATGATTCTCTTCCCCACAGGCATTCCTGGTTCCTCTTGGTTTTGCCAAGAGACTGAGCCCCCTCTGTGCAAGCCTGGCAGTGAAGAAATCAGGCCTGGAAATGAAGAGGATATCCATAACCACCTTACTAAGCAATTAATAACTAACTAATGGCAATTGCTTGTTTGAAAGGAAGGTGTAATGAGATGTGTCATATGGCACCGGGATGTGCCTAAATGATTTCCCACACAGGAAACAGCTCCTGTTGCAGAAAGCTCTCCCAAGCTTGGAGGACACCAAATTCTTTATGCCCGTGTCTGCAGTAGGTTATACAGCACAGCAGCATGATCATTCAGAGAAAGAGACGGGAAACAAGACGTTTCCAATCATTCATTAGGAAAGGATTTGGGAACATGGCTATAATTCACCACAGAAGCAGCAGGGTTGCTGCAGACAAACTTTATAGCTAAGTGCCAAAAAGAAGCCCAATCTGATTCCACTTACGACAG